TTACATTTCTGAAAATAAAAAACAGTTATTCCACTCAGCAACGCTTTGTTCTAAAATTTCACTGCACGTTTGTCAAAATTTACCTCTCATAGCTGAAATAAAGTATTGTAACTTTAGTTAGGTGCAATCAGTTTCTTTAACACATTATATGCACCTTTTTTAAATTAATTCATTCAAATCAAAGTTTTATGACCTACAATTAAAAAAATTGACCTAAAAATGGTATCGAAGTTGAAAAGACTATTACAAAAGAAATTAACTCCTCCATTATAAAATTTTAATTTTATTCAAAAGCTTTTGCGCACTACCCCTTTAAGATTAAAAGTTATCCTTCATTTAGCACTGTAAACTTAAACTAAAGATTTAGCTTGGCTATAATGTAAAATTGACTGGATAAAACAAAACACTTAAGTAATGAGCTAAATTAGGATTAATACAAGTGTTTAAAATAGGGCAGGAAAAAATTACCACGGAAATACTTCTGCAAAAAGTACATAGAACCCAGCGGTACGGTAAGCATAAGGAAACTAAAAATAATTAAGTTGCTTATTGCCCCCATCCTTACATCGGGCGAATACAACTGGTTATACGTCTGAAAAACAAAACACAGATTTCAATACCAATGCAGCAACAACTTTCAATTACGATGGCAATGACTCAAAAGTATAAACTTCCAGAACGCTAATCAAAGGACACTATGGTAACATTAACAAAAACAAGCACCATCAAGCGCCACCTGTTCATCAATTTCTTCCACTGCTTTTTTTGCTGTCGAGTGGTCTCCCACCTGACTATCCAAAACACTTCCTGTGCCTGAACTATCAACTTTCTCGGTCTCGTTAGATTCCATACTGTAACTCTAGACCTCTTCAGTCTGCAAACTCTGCTTTCAAACAAAGCACGAAGAATAATATTGGTCAAAATACTTCCAAGTACAGAGAAATCAAATGTTGACAGCAAAAAATTTCCCATGAAAACTGTTGAGACTAGACTGTAACATAGTTAAAACACCATCCATAATTGAAATAATTCAGGAAAGTTAGATCGATAATTATTTATCAAAAAACTGCAAGTCCAAATAAAAAACTTTATTTCAAATACCAATAACACATCAGAAGGAAATAAAGAAAAAAAGAAAGAGATCTTATTCACTGGTTTCCAAGGAACTCAGTACCACAGAAGTGCTGTAAACTGCATAAAACATAAAAAACAAAAACCTCACCTTTGATTTACAAAGACATTTGCTTCAAATTAAAGGGAACACTGCAGTCTGACTATTAAAATTAATTGCCTCAAAAATAGGATGCTGTAAGCAATAAAATAGAGTTTATAAAGTTGAGGTAGAAAAGTCAGAAGTTACAAAACCCTACGTCGAAGAATTTTCTCTAGAAACATATATAATAACAGAATTACTCAAACTAAACAAGAAAACGGAACTTGAAGAACTTGTAAAGCCGTATTACCTCGTCGGCGTACAGCGCTAATTATACCAAGAAATTCAAGTTCACCAAGACAACGAAAGATTCTTGTGCTGATATCGATCTCAGGAAAAGAACTTAATTGAGTTTCCAGCAAAGGCAACAATTCATCAACGGTAATTTTCTTCTTCGATTTCAGCAAAACTTGTATCGCCCGGTAAACATAAGAAATGTCTAATTGTTCATTTGCCAACTGAAGTACACTAGATTTAACAAAATGCCGTAACTGATGCTCTAAACCATATAATAACAGTAGTGATAATAGACAGTAACTTCTCTGGTAACGTAAGACCTCAATTAATAACGACAAAAAAAGAATTCACCTCTAAATCAACTGTTCTGGAAACATCATGTTCGACGTTTGCTCTGAAGTTTGGAAAACATAAGTCCTTGATGGTTGCTGATCCTACCAAAAGTCGTGATTTGGCAGTTGGCAGCTGGTGGTATGGTATCAGGTACTGCGAGAAAACCTGGACCAAAACAATTAATATTTTAAGAACGCCCGCAGATATAGAATTATGTGGTATAAAATTCTACATAACGTAGCGCAAAACTGAGGATTAAAGCGGTAAAACCTTAGTCAAAAGAAGTGAAAATCTTTGTTGATCCCGAGTTAGGATATTGAGCTGCTTCCTCTCTAAGATCGATTTCTTAAAAAAAAATGCCCTGAATAACGCAGAACTAAAAAGTTTGAAATCTTGACAAATTCTCACAGGTTTTCAACATTCAATGTGAGCACATACGGCAGTAATAGGACAGATATTAAACCGAAAACAAAGTACTGAGACTAACTCTGAGTTTGGCTTGGTCCTCATAGTATGCCTGCAGACCTTTACGGGACTCCTTTGGTCCGTCTTTGACAGGTGTTCCAGAACTCATGTTTAACGATTTGCGCATTTCTGACTCACGATCGTCAAGGTTGAGCAAATCTTCTTCAAACGCCTATAAAAGCAATAATAAAAAGAAAGTGAAAAAAGAAGTGAAAAAAGCTGTAAAGAACTTACTCTGACAGTTGGCAAAAATGGACAATCAACTTTTTCAAGTATCCCTTGCAGTTCTCTAACATATGAAATCATTTTGTCAGCATCCAGTGATGACCAGTATGATTTCCATAATCTAAAAAATTAGCTATAAAAAAGAAAGTTGCTTCGCAAAGGTAATTTCAAAAAAAGTTGAAAACTCACTGAAGGACCGAATTCTCCTTGTTAAAAAAGTAGTCACCTTGCAACATTAAATGTAACTCATTTTTGCTAGGATTTTCGTCCAAAAAATCCTTGTTTATCCGGAATAATAAATCTAACAAAGATGAATAAACATCCACCTGAAAAAGCCTTCTTTTCTGTAACACGTATTTTGAATACTGGCGACCCTCCAACTAAAATGAAATTGCATATGCCTACTTGGTAGGGTGAAATGAGTACTTCTTTATCACTGTGTACAGCTACAAACCGCAAAACAGCCAATTTCAATAATTTCCTCACTTCAGTCAAAGAGTAACTCCCATTTAGAAAGACATCCCTGAGAAGTTCAAACAAAGACTTATCCACCAGAAGCTGAAATACAACGACTAATTTCGACTAAACAAATATTAACGAGATCCTTATCGGGAAGCAAGAAATTGAAAAATAACATGCCTCAGCGTTACTGTCAAAAGTGACAGTATGAAGCAGAGCGTCCAACACTGTTTTAGCTGAAGGAAATTCCAAGCAAGTAGTTGCAATCTGACTAAGACTTTCTTCCGAACATTTCGAATAAATATTACTTTCATTCATAGACAAACGGACAACAAAAATGACCCTAGAAATCCTGAAACAGTCAAATTTAATAAACCTTCATACCACCAAAAGAAGAAATTTTTTGAATAATTCGATTGAAATTCCAATTATCTAACAAGCTACTACCAAACTTAATGCCGAAAACCCCTTGATACACTCCAAACCATACATTAAAATAACAATGATAACTTCAATATTCAGAACTTACTCATTGTCATCCGCAATAAAGGATATAAGGGAGTCGAAAAATCCAGTCGGTAGAGACTCAAAGCAGTCAAACAAGACATATTTCGGCCCCAAAAATATTCCACACATTTAAAAAACGGCAATACATTCTACAACACTGGAAGCTTACTATAAAAAGCAACAGCTTGTACATAAAAGATCCTGAATTCCTACCAAATCGTAATTTAATAAGAATTCTCAACTTCCGAAAACTCCAATTGTTTACCTACTGTCAAATTAATAACCCTTCCTTCTTGAACCTGAACTATATTATTTTTAAAAATGCAGTGAATATTTCCCTGATTTCAAAATCCACGGAGGTACTGGACTATATCATAGTGGTAGCTTCATCCTTCTTGCGCAGAGAAGGACTAGGTCTACCAAAAGTTATTTTTAACTATTTTTGAGCTAAAGACGTAATATTAAACTGTTATTTGGAAATATGAAAAAATTTGCCGACGCTGTTCTTCGTAGACAACACGTTCCCAAGTACCACAAGGCAGGAACCGACGAATGTACCGTTCACCTATATTTTTTCTTCCACCTCAGTTTAAAGTAAACACAGAAAAAAACCCTAGATACACTGCTGAACCAAAATTCCTCTCCTACCTTCCATTTCAAGAAAGATAACACTAAACGCCTTTTCATACAAAGAAGAAAAAAAAAGATAACTATGAATAGATACTATGCAAAATTTACAGCAGTCTCTCGCAAAGCAGTGATGACCTTATACAGCACTGGGGAACATGAAACATAAATCGATTCAACACCTATTTTACGATTCAGCCTCTCTTCTAGATTGATACCCTCAACGTTTCCGGAATAAAAAATAGCCGTTGGGATCACTAAAAGAATAACAGCTTTAGTTCAACAACCTCCACAACGGCAAAAAAAAAAAAAATAATAATCTGCTAAAACTTACAATCCGGCGACTGATTCTCCTGCCACTGAGTAGTCACATATTTAGCGATATTGTTCACAGCCTCTTCATACACAGAATTAATTGCTTTCTCTAAATGAGCTTGAAAACGACCATACACTTTAAAAAATGTACGTATGATTTCCTGATCTTTCTTCAGAGTCCTCTTTGCGTTTTCACCTCCAGTGTAAAGCAACCTCCTTTTGCCTCTGTGAACAACCACAGGTTCTGATGAGATCATTTTTATCCAGCAACTGAAAAGTCAGAATCTTTTGCTACAGTTTAACTTACTACTTCTTACCCCAAAAGGGATTAAAAACGACTTCTACATAAACCCCGAAGGAGTTATATCAGCAGCATTGACACAAAGCAAATAAGCGAATAAATCATGAAACACCATACCGCTCAACTGTCTATTCCTAGCTTTACGAACAAGCGAACGTAGTCCTATGTGGCATTCTCAACCAGTGTCTTAGCTATCACTTCTAGAAACACGTTAAAGTTGTGCCCAGGGTCTTGCTATTAAAACAGCTGCCTTCACGTGCACGTATACATTACCTTACCACAATTCCTCTTAACTAAAATAGCCAATTCGCCCTTTCTGGAGAACTATGTAACATCGCAACAACTGTAACAGAGCTATGCTTTTCCATGTAGTAATTTACTCTAGCAATCCTCATCTCATCGTCAGATGACATTCTTAATTTTAATCAGCCTTCACTCTCACTCATGTTATTCACGAAAAACCTGCTCTTTAATTACAACTCCAAGTCGCTGTACAGCCATTTATAATTGGAAATGGAAGATAAAATCAAAGTGTCCGTTCTTAAACAGTCCAGGAAAGCTCGAAGCACTTTAAATTCACAGTTTTTCAAGACAAATCCCAAAAATATAGTCCACTTTCACGATGCCACTGACAAGTTAGAAACAAAAAAAAAGGAGAAGAAAAAATGCAACTTTAAACAAGATTCTAGTAAATTCTAATACCTTGCTAAAACCGCAAATAGAAAAAATCATGCTAGGAGACGTTCCATGATTTCGCTAAATATCCAGTTTCTTGGGAACCACGGACCTGCCCAAGTTGCTTGCGTCAAAAAAGAGTTACAGAACTCCAGCACTAGCCTTCAAAACTATCTCACCCTGTTTACTAAAACCTTCCTCTTTCACCTATTACAGCTAAATGACCCCTATCTACGGCTGTACCCCGAAAGACAAGTGAATAAAAGACCCTATCAGTCAAGGAGGGATGTGACCCAAGAAAAAATAAATACCACATATATATAGGTGATTGTAAAACCTGAAGAAACCTCATTCTAATCATAAGCTTAGTAAAAATACATAAAGCACTCCTGATCGAAATTAAACAAAAAAAAGAAAGAACTGCGAAATATTTGTACAAATAAGGAGAAACATCATGTAAACAGACCTGTCATAGTGGAAGTATGTATTTATATATATGTCATTATTTCATAACAGTCATTCTTTCCCCAAAATCAACGGTAACAGCTCTAGGCGCATTTTTTGAGGTCAGAAATCGATTTTTGAATAGGCTAAAAGGTCAGTGACTCAACGGATTCGGTTATGACTTAAACGGGTTATGCCACCTACCAAACTGTTTGAAAAAAAAGGAATCTTTTTTTGAACTGCTGCAAAATTTAACAGCTTTAAATCAACAACTCAGTGGTTGATTAACAACGTCACATAGTCGTTACCGTTATTCAGCGCTAAGTGCTACAGTGCTTTCAGCTAGGTAACTAAAAATCAAGCTGCTGGCAGACCTTATTCCAGAATTGAAGAATACAATACTCATTTAGCCAACAGATTCATTTTTGACATTTTCTAAAGTATAACAATGCTTATGTGGTTGCATACTACAGTAAAATTGTATATTGCCGATATCGAAAATCAGTCTAACGCTTGATACATCCATTAAAAAAATACTTTCTTCAAAAATTCTTCATCCTCATTCTCCATACCAGTTTTGCCATTACAAACTTTAAGGACGGCTATTTGACAGCATTTAACAGAACCAAAAATAAACAAACCGATTTGATCAAACATCAAAGAATTTCGAGCAGAAATAATGTAACTTCAGACTACAAGTTTGTTTAAGAACTACAGTCGTTCAGTAGAACTGATAATCACGTTGGTTTTTTTTTTTAAGAACTAGATTTAACATTAAAGGATTAATGGAAAAGGAACTGAAAAACCACTGTAGCAGAAGAAAAAAGGATTGAAAGAACTTGGAAGTTTACATGGGTACTTTTTTAAAGAAGAACATTAAACCAGTGTGCAGTTTTAAGAAAGTATCCATTACATTATACACAATTTCTGCTTTCACTGAAACAGAAATATTATTTTTCAAATAAAAACAAGAAAGGAAGTGATAAACACAATAAAATCTGTAGATTGCTGACTAATACGTAAACAGTAAACGGGCAAGAAAAGATCATAAATTTTCCCGTCTTCTACCAAAAAATATCTACTTTTTAAAATATATATAGGAAATGAATCCGAAAAAAAGCGACTCATTATTGACTAAAGTATTATAGGTGGACACGATTGAAAAAAGTAGCACGCTTTTGTATCAACAAACTCAATTCCAGTGGTTTTCTAGTGTTCTGACAACTGATCCTCCGCAATGTACAGTGTTATAGAGGAATAACTTGCATGGCACCAGTTGTTTCATAAATACTTTTAAACGTCCGAAATTGATGTCGGTCCTGTACCTTCTTTTGAACCTTTTACATTGAACAACTTTTGTATGGCTTATTTAAGTAATAATACTGTGCATGGTTCATTCTCCGTATCAATTCTGGAACGATATAGTTGAGACTAGTTGTTTCTGCTATAACTCACTTTTTCGCAAGTCAGTAAAATTCAATTTTTCAAAGAAATCCTGTTTTTATTCCCTACATCCCATCTGCAAGATGAGCATGTTCAAGAAAAGCTTAGTAATAATAGACCTATCCCATTTGCCTTTCACGAAAATGCACTAATTTTTGTGAGGATACAATACAAAGTAGCATGACCGACATCGTTTAATAGTGGCCATTTCTTCACATTTAATTTTTTTTTTAATCAGTTAGTAAGGAAGATTGGGCAGACATTAAGCTGAAAAAAGTAACTGTTTTTTCCCCTACTTGAAGTCGTTTATAACTTTAACTTTTCTGTCATG